CTCCTTTATGTCTGAGTTTCGTTATTGTGTGCGTTTACATTTGTTGTGCATATATCTGTATGCTGGCAACATTTTTATATGTGCACCAGATGTTACCATTGTTTTAAGCCTGTACTTTTCATTAGTAATTTAGCCAGTAAGATTTTTGCTTCTTTTCACCCCATTTTGTATTTGTTTGTTTCTATGTACTTTTACCATTCTCATATAGCCAAAATGTGCTTGAGTGTGTATATGTATGTATGCGTGTGTGTATGTGTGTATTAATATTTCATCTTTGCTTTTTTTGTGAGGTTTTTGGGTTTTGTTGTTGTTTATTTTTCTTTTTCAAGACAGGGTTTCTATGTGTAGCCCTGGCTGTCCTGGACTCAATTTATAGACAAGGCTGGCCTTGAACTCAAGAGATACTCCTGCCTCTGCTTCTCAAGTATTGGGATTAAAAGTTGATGCCACCACGCCTGGCTTCATTTTTGTTTTTAATATGTGTGTGTGTGCACGCCTGCTTGGGGTGCTATGTACACCATTCTGGGAACCAAACCCAGGCCCTCTGCTAGAAGAGCAGAAGCAGTCCTGAACCACCTGGTGCTCTCCTTCCATGACTTTCTTCCTTAAATACCACTCCTGTAACACTGTAAAGTAGACACTGATTTTTGCATGCTGACACCTTAAAAAACAATGCTGCAGACTTTCCAGATTGGACGTCTACACCTGTTAAAGCTTGGAGGAGGTTGGAGCATGAAGACTTAAGGCCACATGTGAACACTTCCTGTGTTTAAAGTGTCCCCTAGGTCCCTGACATGGAAGATTCATCCTGTAGCATTGCCAGAGCCAGAGCCTTTGAGAAGGCTGTGGCTGGGGACCTCCTTTCTCGCCCCTTCGCTGTCTGGGAATATCAGATGAAGGCCCACACCACTTACTGGAACCTCCATCTTCACCTGGGCCTCTGAACTATGGGAAACAGCTATTGTCGTGAATAACTTGCTTTGTGTGATTGTCTAAGATCTGACACAGCCTGAAACTGGACTGGACCAAGTTCCAGACTGGGAACAAAAATATGGGAACTGTTGACAAATTTGGCTACCTAACAGTTTGATATCATTTTGAAATTTTGCTAACTATAGTTTTGTAAAATATATTTGTTAGAAAAGTCCCATCACAAATGGAAAGTTATGGCAGAATCAGAGTTGCCCTGCAAAAGTGACATATGAATGCTCACAACAGCTTCTCTGATTACTGTCTTATATGTTTGCCTACTTTAAAGCTTCTACTGTGTGAGCTTTTTCCTGGGAAGACAGCTGCCTTCTGCTGTCTCAGATAGGACCTGTGATAGACACAAGAAAGGATTCCACTCAAGTGTGGCTTGGTGAGCCGGTGGGATAGGAGTGAGAGGAGCATTGTCTGTAAATCCTCAGGGAGTGGCATGGCCTTCGGACTCCCTTCCCCAAGCTCCATGGGCTTGTGAAGATCTTTCAGTAATTAGAGAGGGCGGTGGTCATACCATGGCCAAAGGACAGCACTCCACAAACTGTTTTAGAAACACCAGTGGGGGCTGGGCTAAAGCTTGGTTGTCATGCCTGCCTTGTGGGTTGGTGTTGTGTCGCCCAACAAACAAAAAGCCATATCCCAAGTAGGAGAGCTCTGCAGGGCAGTCCCGAGTCAGCTCTTGGAGTGATCATCCCAATTTCAGGTATGTCTAGAATCCCGTTTAGAAATACAGACATGTCTACCAAACATGTTCAGTTTAGCAAGCTCACCAAGGGCTTCCTTCCTCTTGTTAGGGGAAAATAGGAATTAATTCACTGCTACTCCTTTTGTTAGTGTGGGTACCAGATTACCCAGGCATGCTCTGTTGTTGTTTACAGAAACTTAAAAAGGTGAGGCACACTCGTTAGTTATCTGGGACTGCTTTTAACCTTTTCACTAGCTGCAGCCATTCTGCAGTCACACACTGCCTGGTGGCAGCCTTGGCTGGAAGATCCTGCTCTGCAGGTGCTCTGCCAGCCCACCCTGCCTGCAGCTTAAGACCACCTTGCATCATCAGTGTGTCAGTACCATGCTAGCAGCTGGGGACATGAACAACAGGAGCTCTGGCTCCACTCACAGGGAAATCCTGCCCCATCCCAAGAATCCTCTGTTTACAGACACTTGGAAAGAAGTCAGAAAGCAAACAGAAAGATAAATACTGATGAATTGTTTGAATCAGTGCATGCTATGACAAAATGTTTCACATCTTGGTCTTGTGGTTGCTTTCTTTTTTTTTGTTTTGTTTTGTTTTGGGATAGGGTCTTATTCTGTAGAGTAAGAATATTAAGCGAACCATACTGGAAATGTTTTCAGATACTCTAGGAGCTCTTCTCTTGACTCTGCCTCCCATGCACTCAGACTGCAAACATGAACCACCATGCCTGGTCTCAGCTCCCAGCTTCGGTTGTTCTAATGAAAGGTGTGGCAGAGGTAGGTTCAACTTAGCTGTCCAGGTTTAGAACAAATTTGTGCAAAGAATGAAGAGCGACCCCAACTTGCAAGCTGGAGAAGCAGTACTTGCCTACCCAGTGCCACGGTGCCATGAGGTAGCACATTTGTGGAGTTGGAATGGTTCTGGTGTTCTGGCTTGCCCGTGTGATTCAGATTCTGCCTGCTGGAGCAGGTTATCTGCCTTCTCAAGCACGTGTACATCAGTGGATGGGGCATACCGTGTATTGATCTAAATGTATAAATCCATTTAAAATGTTTAATTTTAATTTTTAAGTATTTAATCATTTAAATTGTTTAATATTTAAATCATTATGAGTGCATTGCTCTCATATGTAAGTGCTCCTGTAGGAGCTGTGTTGAGAGCTGAGTAGTGACTTGTTAGTTTTTACTGTCTCAGAAAAAGATGACTGGCTTGAGAAGCCTGCGCACAAAAGGAACTTTTACTCTCACCACGCTTTCGTTTTCTGACTCAGTTCTAAGTAGGTGGAAGTTCTGAGAATATTAAAATAGCTCAAAGAAATATATAATAAGAATATTAAGAGAACCATACTGGAAATGTTTTCAGATATTCTAAGAACAGTTAAAACCTTGAGATAGTAAAACCTTGGCCATCTAGAACTCAGAAAGATGAATCATTGTAGAAAAGTTGAGCGTTCGTCCATCTTACCCCAGTTCTAAAGTCTTCCCACTGACCAGACGCACAGTCTTGTGTACAGCTTCTTCTTCAGTCTGTAGGTGGTTCCGACCAGCATTCTGGCGAGCCATTGTATTAAGGCTGTGATTACAGCTATGTAAAAACGGTTGCATAGATGCAGCAAAGCTGGCTAGGGGGAGTGGAGGGATGGCTGCACTCTTAGCGAGCTGCTCCTTCAGGACCCCAGTTCAGATCCCAGCAGCCATCTTGAGCAGCTAACAGTTGCCTATAGCTCTAGGTTCAGAAGATCCAACACCTTCATCTGGCCTCTGAGCACTACACTCACCACACACACAAGTCCTCACTCAGACACCTGTACATTGCTAAGTAATAAAAGCAGGCTTGTTTGCTTGTTTGTTTGAAGATGGCTAGGGAAGGAGACACGAGGGGCGGTTTTCCGGTTCTGGGGTCCTAAGGCAGTGGTCTTTACAGTTCAGTTGTGCCGGACTGTGACAGGGATGTGGGAAGCTTTGCTCGGTCACGGTAGGAATTTGTAGCATGCTTATCAGATTTCTCACTTGAGCATTCTCTTTTGACCGTGGTGTTTCTATGTCTCTATTGATCTCTCCCTGCTCAACCACCCTGCTATTTTTATTGGAAGGCTGAACATTTTTTTTATGGGTTCTGCTTACAGGTACCAGCCAGTCAGGCTGTCCTAAGCCTTAGAGTGGTGACTGGCCAGCCAGGCTGTCTGGACCTTAGAGCGGTAGGGACTGAAGGGCACTTGGAATAGAACAGAATGGATTGCAGCATCTGGAGTGCTCCTGTCCCATCAGAAAATTTTGCCCCATGTCTTTTGTTTCCAGGATACTGAGGAGGTTGCCATTGTATTTTGAAGACACTATTAAAGAGTTTACTGCAGGGTAACAAATACTTCCTACTTTTCCTTTTTGATTAATTTTTGTTTGGCTTGGAGTAGTTTGTTTTTTGGTGGGGGAGTGCTCTTTACATTAGGGTTTTTTTCTTTTTTTCTTTGTTTTTGTTTTGCATTCTTTGATTGTTAATAAAATTTAAATTGAAAGGTGCTAATTGCAGCGTCTTTAAATTTTTATTACATTTTAAATCATTTTAATATAGGATGGTGCCCACAACCGTGGCATGGGTATGGAGGTCAAAAAACACCCTGGGGGACTGGGTTCTTTCCTTCTCCCATGTGGGTGTCAGGGACCAAACTCTGAACATCAGGCTTTTATCACCTGAGTTTTGCAGCAGGCCCTATAGTACCGTTTTAATTAGCAATTGAATAGGAGCAAAAGTCTATCAGGTTTCATGGCTCTCGAGACAGGATCCTCAACTCAGATCACTGGTTCTCTGTGATCAGTTTCCATTGCTTCCAACACTTCAGGATACACTTGTGCATATTGCTGTTAATCAGCAAAGCTCCCAGCTGTTAAACATTCTCTCAGATTCTGGTCTGATTCTGGATCATTCCTGGCCATATTTTTGCTTTATATTTTTAAGGGTGTGTGCCCTTCCACAGCTTTCTATAGTGGTTTTAAGTGTGTGCCTAGAATATTTTGGTCAGTGGGTTCACCCTGCTGTTTTCTCCAGGATAGTTTCACTGACGTCAATCTTGGTCAAGCACAGTAATTAAGAAAGAACAGATGCTTTCATATAGCAACAGAATTTTTATCAGAATTCATTGCAACCCTCAGGTTTCTGTTTAGGATGAGACATTTTGCAACATTTAAACTTTCTCCTCATGTTCATTTCCTGTTGAGATACAAGTTTGAAATCCATTTAATTCACTAAGGAATCTGTAAAGACAACAGATTATCGTTTCTTTGTGGTTTTCATTTCCATTGATTACTATTGGATTTCTTTCTTGGAACAGATGGAGGGAAAAAGAACCAAGTGATGATTCACGGAATAGAGCCGATGCTGGAAACCCCTTTGCAGTGGCTGAGTGAGCATCTGAGCTACCCAGATAATTTTCTTCATATTAGCATCGTCCCCCAACCAACAGATTGAAGGAGCAGGTCCTCACCGAATGAAGCCACCTTGAGTCAGGACTTAACGGAGCATGTCACCCTTGCTTCAGTCAGGGTCGATGGAAGCAACAGAAACTTGTGGCTGCTGCAAGCCGAGGAGGAAGAAGATTCCATGAGAGATAGGGCACCCTGGCAGGGCTGACTGCACCGTTGCTTTGCTCCACTGCCGTCAGTAAACCTCAGCTGAGACACGACAGGACCGCTAGAGCCTCGTCTTCTCATGAAATACAATGCAGCTGAAGTCTTTGCTCGATGAAAAAAAAAAATTGGAAATGTGCCACAGTTTGTATTCTGATTAACAAATAAATGGGGTATTTCCTAAGGTGACCATGGTTGAGCCTTAGTCAGGAGAGTGGAAACATTGGTTGAATTTTCAAGAGAATTAGACTTAAGAAAGTAAAAGAGAAATTCTGTTATTAATAACTTGCAGTAATTTTTTTGTAAAAGATCAAATTACAGTAAACCCATCTTTCCTTAATGAGAATTTCCTGTTTACAGTCAGTCTTATTGGTATGCAAACAATCTTGTAACTTTGATAATGAACAGTGAGAGATTTTTAAATAAAGCCTCTAACTATGTTTTGTCATTTAATAACATACAGTTTGTCACTTTCAAGGAACTTCTGAATCTCATACAGTAAGCCACTTTTTCTTCTGTGTTTCCATTTCTCACTGGCATGGCAAGGGTACAGGGCATAGGGTAACTTGTCTCAGGAGCTATCATAAGATTTATTACTGCGACTTGAAAATCTGTCTTCTACACTAAGGGTATAAGTAATACTGTCTGTCTGCTGTTTTGTTGGTCACTGTAAGCCTGTCAAATCATATGCCAAGTATCTGTCTACGATGATTTTGCATATTTCGAATGTGTTCCTTTCCATTTTTTTTTCTTTTCTGGCTCCTGGACTACTGTGTCATTGTAGCCCGCTGGCAGCCAGTCTTTAAAGCCTGAAGGTGACCTGTCTCTAGACTGCAGTAGCTTTTCCTTATCATTACCAAAAACATCCAGAGGTTACTAGAACTCCTCCCACAGTAAGGGAAGTTTGCTGCGCTCTACTGATGGCTCTTGGAGACTCCTGCAGTTGGTTTGTGAGCTAGCTTGCTGTCTTCATTGAATGTCTACCCATCTGAGTATGCTAAAAGACAATATCATAAAATAATGGTTTTAGATTCTACAATAAAAATGAATGTTTTCTTATGAAAATTATGTGATGACTCAAGTGAGATCCTGTTAGTGCACCTTGCCTCCTTTCTCCTCGCTCCTGCCCTCCTTTTTTGATTGTCACTGATTTATAGCAGATTTATTCACAAAATGAGATAAAGTTGGCCAAAGAAATTGTAAGCATAATAATAAAAGAAACAGCTTTGAGTACCAATCACAGAAAAGTAGAAGCAAGTAGAAAACAACTGGCTGACAGAACAGTGTGCCTTTTAAGTAAAGGCAGGAAAAAAATAGCGATGCCCGAGTTACATAAGGAAAACTCCATGCCTTGTATTTTTTTTTTTTTTGGTAAGACATTGGTCAGAATATGATTGTTTGCATTACAAGTGTTCATTCGCCTGCTGAGTGTGGGGATTTTCCCCTTGGTGTTTTGACAGACTGAAGAAGAGAGCATCACTAAGCAGAAGGATCATGTGCTGGGAGGGCACGGCAGGTGTGGTCAGAAGGGAAACCATGGTGACTTCACAGGCGACACTGGGGTAGGGGAGCCCTGGGGGACTTGAGAGCTCCTGACTGCCACTGCTGGCCTGGCAGGCTGCTCTTTCTTGTTCCTGTTGACAGGAACACCATAAACAAGCACCTGGGAAACCAGGTGAGCCAAGGCCCAGTAGCCAGAGAAAGAATAAAACCAGGAGTTAGTGCTGGCTAAAATACCTAGATTTTTCTTTGAACATTTAAGTCTGAAAGCTTACTAAAACCCCAAATAAAGATGTCTTTATTCCTAGAAGTTAGAAGTGAAATATTTGTAGATCGGATTTCCGTCATCTTCAAGCTACAGGTTTCTAAGGAAAGAATGAGGGATAATGGAGAACAGGGCTACAGGTCTCAGCAAGTGGCTCACTCTCGGGGTGGGGGGGACAACAAAATCAGAAAAGAAAGAAAGGTCATTTCTTGGCATTGCTGACAAGGAATTCAGACCACAGTACTCACTTCGTCAGTACTCTGTGATGTTAGGCACCACTTAGATGACCTCCGCTCTGACTGTAAGTATCCCTAGTATCCATACCCCATACCGTATGCTGTTGGAATTCAGCATGAACGATGGTGGTATGTAAGTGATTACTATGTGCTTACTATTACTATGTTCCATCTAAGTATGAGGGAGAAGTGTCCCCTGGTCCCCTGGCCATGTCATGATCTTCCCATTCAGGGGAACTAAGTAGATTACACTGACAATACAGGTTTAACACTGAGTGACTAGCCTTTTTTTTTTTTTTTTTTTTTCTTTTCTTTTTTTCCTTATTTGGGAGGGGAGCGTACATGCATGCCACAGCATGTATGTGGAGGTCCCACAGTTTGTGGGCATTGGTTCCCTCCTACCACCGTTTAGGTCTCACAGATTGAACTCAGGTTGTCTTGGAAGCAAGCTCCCTTAACCACTTAGCCATGTCTCGCTGGCCCGTTGATAACTTTGAATTGTTACCTTTCTATTATGTGTTGGTTTAAAAGTCTATTTTTCAGAATCTTCTAATTTTCAAAAATTTGGTACAAGTGGCTTCTGCCAAAGAATGCCAGATCACTTTTTATCATGCTGCTGATGCTTAGTTCTGAGAGGAGCTGGGTTTCCTGTTACTTGTGTGAGCATAATTCAAAAATCCTTCTTGTGTGATGGGAGAAAAATCAAATGTGATTATATTTGGAACTATTTGGGATCGTTTGTTCACAGCCACAATGGCAGGGTTGTTCACAGTGTGAGTTCTTTTCCTCTGTTCTGTTTTGTTTTGTTTGCTCTGTTGTGTTGTGTTGTGGTTTTCTCTGTGCAGCCCTGGCTGTCCTGGCAGTCACTCTGTAGACCATGCTGGCCGTGAACTCACCGAGATCCACCAGCGTCTGTCTCTGAGTGCTGGGGTTAGAGGCATGCGCCACCAGTACCTGGCCCTCTTTTGATTTCTGGTGCATTCCTCTGGCCTGAGAATACGCCAGATGGAGAAATGTGTGCATCTCGTTGTGACTTTTGGATATCAGGTCATCTTTTGTGATACCGAAATGGCAGGCAGGTAGTAGGAGCTGCCTTGCAGCACACATGGTAGGGATGCTCTCTCCAGCGAGGCAGCAGTGAGAATCCCCAGGTCAGCCATTCCTGAAAGCAAACAGCATTCTTCAGTGTGCTGTATTGTAGAGCTACCAAGCTCACAGATTTGTGAATCAGTTGCATTGCTGTTGAGCTGGCCTTGAACTCTGTTTAACCAAGGGTGCCCTGGAACTTCTGCTCTCCTGCCTCTGCCACCCAACTCCAGGATTATAGGTGTGCACCACCCTGTTTATTTTTCAAATGCATTTTTCTGTATGGTATTTTCGGCTTGCCTGTCTGAGTCAAAAAGTAGCTATAGAAAGCTTTTTACCATGCTCCTTCCTATGACGGAAGGATCCTTCAGACTTCCTCAAATACAAATTACAATGTTTTCCCCAAATGTACTAATGTCCAGTATTATAGGCCTAACCTTGTAATCACAGTTAAACTCTCTGTGTTCAGATCCTAATGATACTCATGGGACACTGAATCATTTTAATTTCGAATATACTAAAATGATACAGATAAAGGTAAGTCTGAGAATTTAGGAATATTCAGTGTGTTCTGACACATCACATAATCCTCTAATAGTGAGGTATTACCAATCACAAAGTCAAGACACTGTCTACAAAAAGGCAAAAATAATGGCTAATGACATTTTAAGTAGGTCTTGTATTCCTGTCACAGTTGCCAACTTTAAAAATAGGACAGACCTTGTCATTTAGAAATCAGTGTACAAAGTTCAGTTGGTTGGGGTTGGCATCGCCAGTGAAGACGTGCTTACTCAAATCTGCTCTCAGCAGGAACCACCAAGGACCAGCTCCTTGCGTCAGCCCACACTCATTTTAGCTGTAGCGTCGACCACAGCGCAGGTCTGTTTCAGCCTCACTTTGAGCAGCCCCTCAGTTGCTATTCTCAGCCAACATCTGGAGGTCTTCATTAGTCTTGACCTTTTCATAGATGAGTCCGTGTGCCATGCTTATGCTTGAGGCTTTGCTTCTGAAGCTGAGAGCCCTTGAATCCAGCATTTCCCTAACTCCTGAGGATCTTCCCTCCCTGTATCCCAGCATCTGTTAATGCAGGGATAGAATAAATGATCGGGTCCCGCTGACTGAAGAGTTTGGAGCGTGAGTCTTAACCTGCTCTCCCATGCTTTCAAGCAACTCTCGCTGTTCAAAAGGAACTCATCTCCCAGCCAACTCTTTCTAGGTGCTCATTCCTTTGTTGGATGCATCCCATTTTGTCAGTGTCCAAAATCATCTACTAGGTTTATACTGAATGTCTAATGTGTCTGTCAAGTGCTCAACAATTTAGAGAAAACTCCACCTCAGTCTCCAAGCACGAGAAAGGGAATGAGGTGTGAGCATTGACTGTCTGGCACTAGCTCATGCAGCAGGTCCCTTGGCCCTCCAGCTGGCTCTGGACTTGCCTGGGAGAACAGTGACTATCCTGTGTGATGGTGGTGTCACTGAAGGCTCTGATGTTCACGTTAATCATCTGTTGATGGCTAACTTTTCTGCAGAGATAATAGTTTTGAGCTGTAGACCTATGGTGACACCCTCATTCTGTGAAGATTTAGGAAAACTTTTCGTCCTCCACCTACCAGCTTTTTCCTGATCCTCTTACCCACACCTCACTCTGAAATGTCATACTGGGTCTTGGAGAGATGGCCCAGTGGTTGAGAGCACTGGCTGCTCTTCCAGAGGACCCGGGTTCAGTTCCCAGCACCCACCTGGAAGCTTTTGGCTGTCTGCAACTCCAGTTCCAGAGAATCTGGCACCCTCCTACAGACAACATATAGGCAAAACATTAATGCACGTAAGAATAAATACATCTTTTTTAAAAACAGAAATATAAAATGTCATCCTGGTGCCTGCATTCCTCTAACTCTTCTGGTCAATGTTGTGAAAGTCGCTGCCATCTGAAGATATCTCTGGTAGGCTTCAGTGGTGCTGGTTGCCAAGTCTGTAGGTGTCACAAAGGCCTGGAAGAAACTCTAGAAGGAGGTTAGGGAGCCATTCAGCTTGGGCAAACCAAGTGATTTAGGGGCCAGGCAGGGCATGAGACATTAAATGTAAGGAAAAGAAAATGCCAGGTGGATGTGATGAGCAGCAGGCCGCCTCAGATGCCTGCAAAACCCACAGGTTGGTTGTATTAATTTCTTCCTTCTCTCCTTTCCTCCCCTCCCTTCCCCTCCCCTCCCTCAGCCAGGGTCTCATGAAATAGTACAAGTTGGCCTTGAAATCATGACTCTCCTGCCCTGGCTTTTGAGAGGCAGCCCAGACCGCTCAGCACCTGCCTGTGAAATGGGACCATTGCTGCAGTGGTGTATTGATTTTAGGTGCCAGTCATCTTCGGGGATTTATAGAGCTCCATCCATGTGACATTCTTACTCAGACACTCATAAAACATGGCAGCAAATGTTCCGGGATGAACAAGACAAGTCTCTGTGAGAAGGCAGCAAAGAGAATTTAACCTCAAGGAAATATTTAGAAGAGGCAATGAGAAAAAAACACAGATAAAGCAGCCGGAGAAACTAGCTTTGGGCTGTGGTAGACGCTGACTTGATTTGACTGTAGCACGTTTGACAATTGACCACACCTTGTTTCATTCTTCACTTTCTTCACTGGTCACCACACCCTGCAGCTTTTCTTATCTAGGCCCCTTTTCAGTTTCCTTCTCTTCTCACCTTGATTGTGGTGTCTCAGCATTCACCCTGGGGCCTCTTCCTCTATGGTACTTGAACTCATCCCAAACTTTTTTTTTTTTTTTAATGTGTCTGTGTGGGGCATAGTGGTTTGTTTTTTTAATCCCAGCCCTTGGAGACAGGCTGGTGGATCTCTGAGTTCAAGGACAGCCTGGGCTACATAATGAGTTTCAGGAAAGCCAAGGCTCTGTAGAGAGACCTTGTCTCAAAAAACAAGAAAGCATTTGTGCGTTAACCTTTGTGAAGACACTAGAGCCCACAGAGAAC